CCCCCCCCCCCCCCAAGACTGGCCCTTGCTGGCCAGGGAGCGAGGGGTGAAGGCTGGCGACCCCTCTGAGATTGTGGGGGTGCCAAGAAAAGTGCCGGCAGCACTTCCAGATTTGCTGCTGGCACTTTCAGCCACTGGGGACCCCACCCCCTGTCGGTGATCAGCCACTGGTGCCCCCCCCCAATATCAGGAGGCACCAGTTACCCATGTGGTTATGAACCTACTTATATTGTAGTTTCCATGATCACCGTGGAAAAATGGCATTTCCTGTGATTCTGCACAGAATTGCCTGGAAAAAATAAAAGCTTACTAGTATGCAAAGAAAGCATGACAATCCCTGCAGCCAACAAGCGCGTGGTTTGAGAGAGCACTACTGAGAGGCTGAGCTAGTGACAGAGACTCAGAGAAGGTGCCAGTTAGGAAAGCAAAAGGGTTTTGACACCATCTTTTAAGAAGCCAGACGCAATGCTGCATCAATGCAGCAGTCTGAAGATGAGTGAAAAGAAATCCAAGAAACCTAAATACATTTCAGCTCAGGATCATATAAGGCAGTTCCCTATAGGAAGTTTGCATGCAGATGGTGGTAAATTTTGTTCGTTGTGCAACAGCACGACTCTGGATATGTTGAAGAAAAACAGCATTGATCAGTATTTAGAGGCTGAATTGCATATAAAGAGAAAGGCTGCTGAAGGGGCTGAAGGTCAGAGCAAGAAACAAACAACTATGTCCTTGACCATTAAAAGCACCACTGACAGCAGTCTGGCAAGAAGAGAGGCTACGTTTACACTACTGGAGGCATTCATGGCTGCCATCACTCCTCTGGAGAAAACTGATGAACCTAAATTAAGGGACTACCTGGACAAACACGTGACAAATGCTGGCACTTTCCCCTGTGCAAGCAAGCTTCGCCAAGATTATCTACTAGAAGTAATTGCTTCACATGTTCAGTCTTCAAAATCTGCATTTGCAGATTATGAATCAATCTCCATTGTAGCAGATGAAGCAAAAGACACCCACGTTAACTATGTTCTGCACATTTTATTTGTACCTGGGAACTGGACAGACTGTGACCTGCCTGTTTTTCGAACAGCTGGTTTGTCTCACCTCTGTCAAATTTTTCTACTGTGGCACAAGCTGTGGTGAAGGCTGTTGTAAACTACAGCTTAGAATTGAACAAGACCTCAGCATTTCTGTCTAATAATACAATGTGGATGTGCAAAGCTTTCTCTGATGTGCGCCATGGAAAGATGCCCAACACAATTTACATTACCTGCAATGTACACATCCTTTCTTTAATAAGTGACATCTGGCGCACACATTGTCCTGATACGGACAGCCAGTTTTCCTCTTTTAAAAAAGCATTCAAACATTGTCCAGGCCGTAAGCTTTGATACAGGGAGACCCTCGCCAATCAAAGCAGGGATCTACATGTGACCGCGTCACTTCTACCAGAGCCCATGCTTACAAGGTGGAATTTGTGGTTTGACACAGTTCATTACCATGCAAAGAATATGAAGCACTACTCTCAATTTGTATTTCAGGAGCTTGAAAACACGCCTGATACACAATGCATATTTAGTCTACATGATCTCTTAAGACAAAGCGACACTGAAGAACAAATTTAAGTTTGTGGCTAAAAATGCAATCCGGTTCATGGAGCTTCTAATGTGGTTTGAAAGTCAGCAGGCTTTGATCCACCAAGCACCCTACAAGCTAATGGATTTGATAAGCTGGGTCAAAGACATGGCATCACAACAACTTTCAAACTGTGACCATGAAACCAGCAGAGACAAGAACTGTTCTAGGCAATAGCTGCAAAGCTGAATCAGTACTACACGTACAATCAGTCACCGTTTAAACAACTGGCTGCCTTCTTTTTTAGTGCCGTTCACATTTTTTACATCAATCAGGTGTCTTTTCTGAATTTCAACCCTCAGCCACTGAAATCAATCTCTGGATGGCAGAAAGAACATAACAAGAAATGTGCTGCTTACATTAACTTTATCAAAGAGTGGCAGATGCCTTTGACTGTGACTGTGTTTTGGGCGTCTGTTTTTGAGTGGTCTCCACATCTCTACAACTTGGCAAAAAGCTGCTGTACCATTTCAACCAATTCAGTGGATGCAGAATATGCGATCTCAGCATCTGGACAAGAGATCACACCGCAGAGACAGAGGATGTCAGCTACAACTGCTGGTGGATGCTGCATGCCAGCATTTAACAGCTAACATGAATTGTTTCCATCAAGGTTAGCAGTATTTAGTATTACTAATTTTTTTTGTAGAACTTTTTGTATGATGATTAGTTATAATTCATATTGCGTATAAATTTATATTCATAACATATTTCAATTTAGATTTAAATTTAATACTAAGGTTTATGATAATACAGTAATTTATTTGATATTTCTGCAGATTTTGCTATTTAGTTATGATGTGGTTTTCGCCTCTCGGCGAATCAGCAGCAATGAGTGGGGCCACCAGGCCCCTCAGCCAATCAGTGGCAGGGGAGGGGGGCTCACTGTGAAAAGACTGCAAAATCAGCTCCATGCGTCTCAAGCAGCCTGCGAAAATCCCTTTGTCTTGTTGCAATTTATGTAGGTTCCAAGTT